CTCCCACGTGAGCAGCAAGGGTTCAAGTACCCGAGTGCCTCCCAGGGTGTGCACCAGCAGAAAACTGGACAGAAGCAGAGGAACTAGGGCTCCTCCATATGGGGTGCAAGCCCCTCAAGAGGCATCTTAATTACTACAGCAACTGTACGCCCTACCGTGAATGCTGAAGCACCTCATGCAATAACTGCTTTTGTCAAGGAAAGAATCTGGAGCTAAAGGTAAGAATTGAACCCAGGCACACAGATGTGCAATGCAAATGTCATAACTGGCATTTTAACCATGAGGCTAATTATTCCCCCTAGTATGTGCTTTGTTCATGTCCTTATTTTGCCAACCCCCACGAACATCAGCTCCCCTAAATCCTCTCCTCAGCACATTTAAACAGAACCTATCACACAGTGCCCAGAGCTTTGTGGATAGATGGATGGGTGGGTGGGTAAAGGGAGGGATGGTGAGTGCAAGGTGTCTAGAATATGGAAAGTACTGCTTGGATTTCTGATTAAGCGTCGGTGGAGCAGTGAGCAGACCTCATGCTCCACTGTCCACCATAGGGCTTGGCACTTTAAGGACTCTGGCTATTTGCCCGGCACCACTTTGTATTTCTTCCCAGCTCCTGCTCCTTTCCCTCTCGGTTCCCTGTGCCTGCCTGCCCTACGCTGCTGCCTCTGACTGCTGAAGTTTCTCCCAGCCTTCAAGGCCCTTCTTCGGTGCCACTGCTTCAGCCTTTCCCCAGCCTGGGTAGGAAGACTTTGCTCTAATTCTTAACTCCGTGCTGTTCTGGCTGCCCCCCATGTGATGCAAGCTGTCTCCTCCCTGAGACTTAAGCGACTAGAGGACAGAACGCTCCTTGTGGTTTTCAGTGGTGCCTAGTGCAGGGCAAGGGCTTACAGTCACCTGGACCTGCAGAGTGGGGGCGGACTAGCTGATGGCTGGGTGCACAGGAGGGTGACTTAAGGGGAAGGGTTCCCAGTGGGGCCACCACCCTGGACAGCCTCAGGCAGAGACACAAGGCCAGGCTCTAGTTTAAATTCTAGCCAAGCATTTAAGCAAAACATTTTTTAGCCACTCTGGGCCTCAGTTTACCTGTCTGTAAAATAGAGATAATAGTAGGAGCCTTACAGGAACACAGAAGCTTTTGTGGAAAATAAATGAGCTGTTGTTTTGAAATGGTTGGCCCAGTGCCTAAGCACATAAAAGAAATGTATAAATGTCAACTATTATACATTGTGGGCCAGTTGCAAACCTAGTGCGGGCTCCTGCCTTTGTCTTCAGGGCTCAGAGTTTTCTGGCGAAGCACAGGATTCTTGAGAGAGTGGAAGCTCAGCAGGCGATTTCTGACAGGATCCTCTTTTTAATCTTTTTTTAAGATTTATTTTTATTTTTATTGGAAAGGCAGATATACAGAGAGGAGAGACAGAGAGGAAGATCTTCCGTCCACTGATTTACTCCCCAAGTACCCTCAATGGCCAGAGTTGCGCCAACCTGAAGCCAGGAGCTCTTCTGGGTCTCTCACACAGGTGCAGGGTCCCAAGGCTTTGGGCCGTCCTCGACTGCTTTCCCAGGCCACAAGCAGGGAGGTGGATGGGAAGTGGAACAGCCAGGATATGAACTGGTACCCATATGGTATCCTGGCATGTGCAAGGGGAGGACTTTAGCCACTAGGCTACTGCACTGGGCCCCATAGGGTCCTCTTGACCCATGTGCTTCTATTCATGCATCCAGCAGTGATTTTTGGAGCATCTTCTACATGCCATGGACTCCTGTGCATGGCATCAGAGTCCCTGACCTCACAGAGCCCGCATTCTAGTGCATGAAATCAGAGAATAAGAAAGAAGCTGACAGATTAACAATTGCAGAGAGTTAAGGATGGATGTCTGGCATAGTGTTAAGACACTGGTTAGAGTGTGGAAATATCTGGGTTCAAGACCAGCTCGTTACTTCTGACTCTAGCTCCCTGCTAATGCAGAGCCTGGGAGGCAGCAGCGACAGCGGAAGCATTCAAGTGGTTGAGTTCCCCCTGCCAGTAAAAGAGACCTAATGTGGCTCCAGGCTCCTGTTTTTGCTTGGCTTAGTCCAAACTATTGCAGGTATTTGGAGAGCAGATCAGCAGGTAGACGATGTGCTTCTCTGCCTCTCAAGAAACCAGCAGATTAATAATCTGGGAGTGGACACCCTCTAGACAAACAGCAGCGTTACATAATAAAGAGTGATTTCCTGGTCACAGAAGGCTTTGTTGAGGCTGAGACTAAGAGGCAAAATGGAGACACTGGGAGTGGGCAGTGTGGGCAGGGGTGGATCTGGGGAGGAGCTTCTGGGGTCCCCGGGAGGACCCTAAGGTAGTGGGGAGGCCATGGGGTCTGAGCCTCAGGGCCTTGCAGCTGCTCTGAATTGATGTTTGATTCCAAGTTGGATAGAAAGCCAGTGTTGGGGCCTAAGTGAGGCAGTGATCTGATCTGCTGTAAGATCACCTGGCTGACGAGGGCAGGGGCAGGTGGGGACAGCAAAGGACTGGGTGATTCTACGCAGAGCACAAGGGTTCCCAACATAGAACTCCGTGTTTGCCTGTGAGTTTTCAACTTTATGATGGTGTGAAAGTGATATGCATCCAATCGGAACTGTACTTCGGATTTTGAATTTTGATCTTTTCCTGGGCCACTAATAATGACCCTGATTGACTCTGGCAGCGCTGGGCAGTCACGAGGGTCAATGCCTCACTCCCTGCAGCGCTCTGTGTTCCCGAACTGGAGTGTTGTGGGTTGCAGCACTGAGAGCATTTCCTTTCAACCCATAGTGAGTTATTCAGGCTGCAACCCCAGCAGGAGTCGAGGGCTAGCTGATTTGGGAACAGCTGCTGGTGTGCAGAGAGAGGTGCAGAATGACTCTGGGTTTGCATCAGGCCCAGCGACAGAGTTAGCCAAAGCATTTCTTGATAGAGGAAGACTGCGGGAAGAGAAGAGCTGGCAGGAGGAGCCAGCTGATGTGGACTTATAAGAGTGCATGTTGCTTACACAGAACAGGTTTGAGCAGAGGAGGTGCCCAGTGTGAGGGGAAATAGCTCAAGTTCAGAGATTGGAGCTAGGGGTGCAGGCTGGGGACCCATCAGCATAGGGATGCTTTTCAAAGACGGAAGCAAGTCCCCAGTGGGGGAGATGCAGGCCGAGGGATGGGCAGGAGGAACCCTGGGAAACCCGGACCCTCAGATTCAGATGGAGGAGGAGTCAGGGAAGTCAGGAAGACAACCAGAAGCGGGCAGCAGGGCTGAGATGTTGGTGTGGCGAAGAGCGATGATGGGCTGTGCCAAGTCCAGCCAAGGGTACAGCCCAGGGAAGTGGGTGACCTGGAAGCCAGGAGATGGACGTTTGGTTTTAGGCATGAGCACTAAGGGGAGAAAGCCCCAGTGCAGGAGAGGGCATCCTCTTAGCGGCTGCTCGCATTCAGTTAGAGAGCAGAGGGAGAAGTGTCTGGCAGGGATGTGGGATGGGAGGAGGGCTTTTGCTGGTCAATGAGGAGGGACGGCTGCACAATCACAGGTTGGTAGCAGAGAGCAAAGCAATGTCCTTCCCAGGGTCTAAGGCCCAGGGCCCTAGTGGAGGGGCTGGCCTCCCACAGAGGGAGACTGTCCATTGTGCTGGATGGGCCAGGCAGCCTGGGTGAGCCAGGGGCAAGCGTAGGACCAAATGCAAGAAAGTCAAGGAAGGGCTGGAACTTCCAGCACTGTCTCAGGTTCCTCTGCAGCCCCAGGCAAGAGATCTACTCTTTCCGGGCAGTGCTTCTCCAGGAGTTGAGGGGGTTGGGTGGGATGGGGGTGAGAGAGACAGAATTGTAGTCCCACCTGGCTTTCCTCTCTGGTGTAACACACTTACCCCAGCCTACCTGAAAATCTGTTTGATGTGGCCCTGGTGCAGAGATGAGACTAAGGTTATCTCAAAGATCAGGTGCACCTTGTCACTTACAGGGTCAGGGGCCGGGGGCTTTGCCATTGCCACCTCAGCTCTTCAGTCTTATGGGACAACAGAGACTGATTCACTTTCCCTACCTGTGACCAGAGGCTATAGGGGATGGGGGGAGGAGTCTGTGTCAGCCTCCAGGAGGTGGGGAGCAGGCAGTCCCAACACTGGAGCCAGCCCACACCTCTGACTGCCATGTTGGCAGAGGCAGATTTCCTGTAAGGCTTGATCTTCAAGTTCTAGACTTACAGCTCTGTGTTCTTTTTCCATAAAGGAGGCCCAAGGTGTATGATCTCCAAATTCTGTGAAATCGAGATCTACAATTCTGAATAAATGACTTTGCCTCACTTTCCCTACCTATTAAATGGGACTATCAGATATGCCTCAGGATATAGGGCAAATGGTTGCTAGGTGCACCATGCAGGGGGTGCAGTTAGGGCTCACATGAATGAGAGATGAAGTTACTACTTCAGCTGTGGCCGGGAGAGAGGCAGGCAGGCACAGCTGGCTCATGCCCAGCTCTCTCTCCGTCCAGTGCAGAGTCTTGGCACTGACCATTAAGGGGTCCCGCAGTTCCTCAGCAGATTTAGCCTAGAGGTCATGGGGGAACACCTTCTCTGTGCTCAAAGCCATAAATTTCTAGAAGCCAGCTTCCTCTGCTCTCCTGCCACTTGTCTTGAAACCCTGCCACCCACCTCTCCCTCTCTGTGCCTCCCACTCCCTCTCAGTCCCCAGAGAACCTAGTCTAAGGCAGATCAACCTCATGGGCCCTTTTCTGCATCTCCTTTACATGCCTGGCTCCCTGTTTGTCAAATAGTGTATTTCAAATGCACCCAAGCCATTCCTACCACACTCCTATGCTGGTTGCAAAGCAAAAGTTACCTTTGATATCTTAACCCTTAGCCCCCTAGAGCCCCAGGAGCTTGTAAACCTTATTCTGGGGTGAGAGGATGAAGAGCTTGTATGGTGTCCCAAGGATGCCCAATCCTGAACCCGATGGTCTTTCCTTTGTGCCCTTTGGAGTTATCCATACCCAGAACCATAAGTCCTTACCTTTCTGGGAACGAGGAGGGGCAGAGGTAGCAGGAGAACGGGCAGAAGGAACACAAACAGGTACATGCGATAGGCCCACAGGCCCTGCCAGCAGGTGGCCATCGTGAGGATGGGGAGGCTGCAGCCCAGGAGCCAGCAGCTGCAGGACCAAAGACACAAGGAGGCAGTGGGTAGCCTGGGGCAGGCTTATATAAAGCCGGGCAGGTGTTAACCATTGACCCACCCTGGCAATCAAAGAGTTTTTGGAGATTGGGAGGTGAGAGCCAGGAGGAGGGACCTGCAGGAGGAGTGAAGATCGGGGAAGACTTTGCAAAGGGAGGAGGAAATATCAGGGAATAAAAGCTGCAGATTCCTTGAAGAAGTTAAGCCCAGAATTAACTCTTTGTTTGCATGCAGGCTGCGGAAGGCTGCTACCAGGGAGCGGGAGGCGGGGACTGCAGAGGGATGGGCACAGAGGCGTCCACCACTGGCCCTCCAGGGCGGGAGCCCACGCCCTCCTCTCAGCGCAGCTGACCTTTCGAAAGCCAAGTTCTCAGGAGAGCCCTTTGTACTGGGCCCTGGTGGGGTGGGGAGTGGGGGCGTGGTCCCTGCCCTGCCTACAGGGACATCCAGCCCATTAGGAATTTCTGATCTAAAATGGGGGTCAGCGAGATTTCCTCTGCTCCCAGGTTGGAGTCGCCTGTTCTGCCTGATTTGTACTTGCTGGATCTGCTCGCCCACGCACAGAGAGCCAGTCAGTGAGAGGAGGTGCTTGTTGTGAAGGAGCAAAGAGCCTAGCAGCTATGGCTTCCTGCCTAGGCTCCCTGAGAAGTCAGGGGTGAAGGTTCTTATAGATTGAGATTGGGTCTCAGAGGGGCGTGATCAGCTCATGGCCAAGTTCAGGTTGGTCAGTGGTGCTCATGACCTTCCTTTGACTGGTCAGTGATGCTGTGCTCCTTAGGGAACTTACAATGGCCGGGTGGGCTCCAGTTGGTCTGGGGGTTATGTAAAAGGTGGTAGTGATCGTCTGCCAGGACCTACAATTTCCCTATACATACACGCAGTGTCATCCCAGGATGACACTGGCCATCAAGGTTCTTAACTGCTGGAGAAGCAAATGGCTGCTTGAGTTCAGTGGTGAGACACTTGCAGGAGGAGCTGTATCCTTGTGTGAAGTCCTTGAGATAAGGATGCGCAAGGACTCCGCGAGCTGAGGGAGACTGACAAGAGGCTGGGTTCTGCTATTCCGTTACGGGTTCAGCGTCCGTCTTTTCCTATTTCGTATTACTACTCCTCAATCCTGAGGGAATAGGGATGGTGGCTGCTCTGCTTCATGCTGTTTATGGGGCCACGTGGGAGTGTTTTCAGGATCAGAGGGGAGCAAGTTGTTAACAAACTTCCTAGTCCCCGGCTTAACTGCGGAGCCGCTCTGTGTCACCATAGAGATTGGCCTGGCCAGACTCTGCACCCCGTTGTCTTGCAGAGGCTTCCCCATTTTGCAGCAATAGTAAAGGCAACAACATACTAGCGTTCTTAGGCCTTTAAGGAAAGCCAGAGAAATTCTGATTTCTCCCACTGGAAACTTTCAGTCCCAAACCAGGACGAGAGGTCTTCCATCCATTGCTTCATTCCTTAAACTGCTGCAAGGGCCAGAGCTGAGCTGATCCTAAGCCAAGAGCCAGGAGCTTCTTCCTGGCCTCCCAGGTGGGTACAGGGTTCTAAGGACTTGGGTCAGTCTCCGCTGCTTTCCCAGGCCACAAGCAGGGAGTGGATCAGAAGTGCAGCAACCAAGGCTTGAACTGGCCATTCTCCACTGCTGAGTTGGAGGTGGAGCAGTTGAGACACAAACCAGTGCCCATATGGGATGCCAGTGCTTGCAGGCAGAGGATTTGCCTGTTGAGCCACCACAGCAGTCTTATGGAGCAAAGTCATCTTCTTCTGTCCTATCTCTAGAATAAGGATAGCAAGTCAGCATACGGTGGGAGACAAACTTGATCTAGCTATAAAGCAAGTTTCGGCAAATGGTAGACTTCTGTACACTTTTTTATATCTATTTGTCTTGAATCCAAGATGTATCAAAAATACATTTTTGTACTCTATCTGGGGCAACCAAGGCCACCAACATTTCTTTGTTACATAGTCAGCTCCACTTCCCATCCAGCTCCCTGCTTGTGGGCTTGGAAAGCAGTTGAAGACAGCCCAAAGCCTTGGGACCCTGCACCCACATGGGAGACCTGGAAGAGGCTCCTGTCTCCTGGCTTCAGACTGGCTCAGCTCCAGCCAATTGTGGCTGCTTGGGGAGTGGGCCATTGGAAGGAGGATCTTCCTCTCTGTCTCTCCTCCTCTCTGTATATCCGCCTTCCCAATAAAAGTAAATAAATCATAAAAAAAGAAATCCACAGACTTAATGAGTTCATTCTGTCTCCTGTAACTAATTTCTGTTTGATCTCCATGAGCAGTTTTGAAGATTTCATAGTCCTTTTCCTTTTTTTTTTCAAGTTTCTAGAACTTATCTAATCTGTTGATTTTAGAGTTGTCAGAAACACGTGTTCAAGAACACTTATTAGAACCTTCTGCACAAGTTTTTAGAGAAGGATACAAACCTGTGGATGACAAGGACCTTAAAAAACCACGGTTAAATTTATAAAACTGATTACTTGGCAAGGAAAGCCTTGTATGTTCATTCCACACAGCATTCTAGAATGCACCAGAAGGATTTTACAAAACTTCAGTCCCTAGTAGGCCTCAGGGCCTGCTTCTTGTTAAAATAACCATCATGACTGATAGCAACACAACAGGCCAACAGACTTTCACATGATTTCTATGCCTTTTATATCAATAATACGTCTGTATTAACTTAAATGTTTAGCATCAGTTCACGTTGTGACAATACCTTCTCCCTAATTCGAAAAGCCAAATTAGCTACTACCTCTGTAAGGTAAAAGCCATAGCCTTGACATTGCCAGGGACTCAACTGGAAATCTCAGGACGTCAGAAGCATTTACGATCTCAAGTCTTAGAAAACCTGTCGAAGAGGTCAAGAGGCCTTCAGATGTCTGGTCCTGATGAGACTCTCCGACACAGTGAGATAACAGCTATCCTTTCGTCAGATTCAGTCACAGCTCTAAGATGCTCCTGCAAACAGTTTACAAGTGCGTTTCCACAAACAACCTTCACCCCTAAAGCTCAATTCTTCCCAAACAGCCACAACCTGACAAAGAGAGCAGAGAACACAGGAGCTTACCTTAATCAAACACACAAAATATGACTTGGACAGTCGCTAAGAAGGAAAATAAGACCCTTGAGTGGAATTGGCCCATAAAAATAGTTCATAACCTGGAAAACTAGAAAAGAGAAGGGAAGAAAGCTTACTGACACAGCCAGAAAACCGACAGTTACCAGTTTAAAAAAAAAAAACTATTCAAAGGAGGTGCTGCAGCTTTTTATATATATATATTTACTTATTTTTATTGAAAAGGCAGATGTACAAAGAGGAGGAGAGACAGCGAGGTCCCCGAGCAGCCACAATGGCTGGAACTGTGCTGATCTGATTGAAGCCAGGAGCCCTGAGCCTTTTTTGGGTCTCCCACATGGGTGCAGGATCCCAAGGCTTTGGGTCATCCTCCACTGCTTTCCCAGGCCACAATCACGGAGCTGGATGGGAAGTGGGGCCACCGGGATTAGAACCGGTGCCCACGCAGGATCCTGGCATGTGCAAGGCAAGGACTTTAGCTGCTAGGCTACTGCACTGGGCTCAGAGGTTTTTTTTTTTTTTAAAGATTTCAAAGATGAAGATGATTTCCAGATATTTACCAACATACATATAACATATGCATATGTACATTTATAAAACCTTGCTGCTTTTACAGACAATTAGATTCTGTATTACACCGATTCTTTTTTAAGAAAACACCATAAACAATATTTGAGAGTTGTAGTCAATTTTATCACACAAATATCACTCCATTTCCCTTCAGTGACTTCCTTGCATCTTCCGTGATGCACTTAAACCTGCAGGTGTTGCTGAGTCTTGTCCTTTCCGGTAGCCAGGTTCCTTTCGGACAAATATTTTTGCAAGCAATGCCCTTTCTTTAATCAAAAAATGTTCTTTCTTTCATAATCTTCTTTACCAATAGCACATTTTCATCCTTGTGATTCTTTTCTTTTTCCCATTCATTGATTTTCTTGACTTATATTTTGAAATTATCCTTAAAAAAAAAACTTCAAATTAAGACATTTTCTAAATAAAATATTACATTTTATACTGAATTACTTTCTTTTTTCCTTAAAGATTTATTCTATTTTTAAATTTTTATTGGAAAGTCAGGTATACAGAGAGGAAGATCTTCCATCCATTGATTCACTCCCCAAGCAGCCACAATGGCCGGAGCTGAGCCGATCTGAAGCCAGGAGCTCTTTTGGGTCTCCCATGCGGGTGCAGGGTCCCAAGGCTTTGGGCTATCCTCGACTGCTTTCCCAGGCCACAAACAGGGAGCTGGGTGGGAAGCGGTGCCGCCGGGATTAGAACTGACGCCCATATAGGATCCCGGCGCTTTCAAGGTGAGGACTGTAGCCATATGCTGTCACGCCGGGCCCCTATTTGCTTGCAAGTCCCTGTTCAGCTGACACTTGTTCACTGTCCATGCAGCAATGGACTTGGTGCAAGGAGCTGATAATCACACGCATGAACTACTGACTGATGATCAGTAGCTTCTTTATCGTTAAAAAAAAGTTATTTATTTTTATTGGAAAGGTAGATAGACAGAGAAGAGAGAGAGACAGATATAAAGATCTTTCATCTGATGGTTTACTCCTTGAGAGGCTACCAATGGCCAGAGCTGGGCTGATCCGAAGCCAGGAGCCAGAAACCTCCTCTTGGTCTTCTATGCTAGTGCAGGGTCCCAAGGACTTGGGCCATCCTCTGCTTTCCCAGGCCACAAGCAGGGAGCTGGATAGGTGGAATAGCTGGGATATGAACTGGCACCCCAATGGGATTCTGGAACTTGGAGACTGAGGATTAGCTACTTGAGCTATTGTATCCCTTTTTGTAAAAACAAACTTAAAGCAAATTATCTATCAAAGATTTACCTAAGTCATTTGAACCAAGTGGTATTTGGCTTAGC